GATTGCTCTGAGCGACACTCATCTGGAAGAAGTTTCCCGTCAAAACTAGCAGTTTTGTGGCTTGCTGAACTATTCATTACATCGTTTCTCCTTTGTTCATTTCCAAAGTTGGGGTAAGTGTCAGGAGATCTGAGTTGCGGCGAAGTGGCGGCAGCGGCGTTGGTAATGGTGCCTGATGCGCATCATGCGGCTAATGACCGAATTGATTGATGCAGAAGGCGGCGTTCAAACTTCGCGATGACGCACGTAGCACTAGGGTGCTGTAGCGAAGGTAGTGCTTTGACGCGCGTCATCGCGAAGTCTAAACGCTGCCTAGGTGCAACAACAAGTCAAACCAACTAGTTAGGAAATACCGTTTACGCGGAGCTAAACTCCATATTCCGAAGATGTTTGAGGCGTCACTACGCACTTCATTCACGCCTACCTACGGTCCTACGCCATGTCCAAATGTAGTGCGCAGCCACGCCCTCCTTATCTCTTCGGTATGACGTATAGTTTCTACGGTGCGCGGCAACCCGGACCTCTTGACTCGCATCCTAAGAAAGCAAAGAAACCGTTGTTTGGCCCAGAATACGGCATTGTTGGGATTACCCCATCAGGGGAAAGGGTCGTACTTAGTCACTAGGTCGTAGTTTTTCATAGGGCTCGCATCTAGCCTCGAATTTTTTCCAAGTCACGGTAAAATGTTTTCCAGTTGTTGAAATTTTTTTCAATTTTTCCCGCATTTTCCCTTTTCTTGTGTGGTACAAAAATATGAGGATTGCACCTAAGGCGCACATATTGGACGTCCTCCGCTTGGATGTAATTGGATCAATACCAATCAATACCTATAAGAGAGCCATTCAGATTGTTGGTGTACCTGACGAAAGATACGGCGAATCGGTATGTGCCTGGATTCGATTGCACGAATCAGCTGTTGGTGAAATTAATGAGGAGCACATCAAGAACTGGTGCAAAGGAAAGGTAGAGATTTTTCAGTTTTATAATTTTGGACCCTCTAAAGGACAAATTTTGTTCAGATCGCTCACTTCAAGATTCCACGCTATATCCTTTTCAAGAAGGAGCACGAATTCCCGCTCACAGTAACTGGAAAAGTGAAAAAATTCGAAATCAGGGAACAATCAAAGATCGAACTCGGCCTGCAACAGGTCGTTTCTCACTTCCAAGCGATTTGAATTCGTCCACGAATTCGTGGAGATTTTGGAGTGTACTGTAGAGGACTTAGCGTAATAGTGAAGCGCCATGCCCCCGTGTGTTTGCACGTATGCTCATGTGGATGTCGTTCACGAGCCATCTGAGCTTCTAGTCCTTACGTCAGAATTGGCCTTATTACATACAACAGTTACATATTGTTCTCCCATGCGGCTAGTGTAGCCTACGGAGTGTTCCTTAAGTTGCGCACCAGAGTTCCGCACAACGGACTGGGAGATGGAACCATCAAGCTGGTTAAATGCCTGCGGCCTTACGTTACTCGACGGTTTTCTCATGGCCCTATGCCGCCCGAACAAGCTTTGCGCACTGACAAACAGAGGGGTATGGGCCAAGACAATGCGTTATCATTGTCCGCGCTGGTGGCGTGAGAGTAGCCGGCACCTAACGGACGAAACCGAGCGCGTCCAAAATTCGCCGCGCGTCGCCGCACGTACGACGCGCACCACGATCGCGACGAAATACTGGTTGTCTTGTCCAGCCCCTCTAACAATTAGAGGACTCGGGCCGATCATACAGCGTCGAAGGGTGCGAAGGAAGATATTGCGACAGGGTTAAAAGTTCACGAATACAGGCGGTATTCAGTACTCCTAGAAATTGTGCGGGAATTTTAATGTGTCGGCGTCCATGGTTGCACACAAATGATGTAACCCGTACAGCCGTTTATGTGAACAAACAGTGAGTCGCTTTATTAGGCCTGTTGCACGCCTTTTGCGGCACCTGTTGTACTTCCACGTGAATTCAGTTCCTGTTGCACTCAGGAGAGGGGAGTTCGTGGTGGGGGTCATTGAAGAGGCCAGGGAGGCAAAAGCCTACGGCATTTCGCCTCCCCCCGTACCCAAAGTGCCTAGGAGTAAGCGACATGCTACCGTTATCCGGTCCCCAGCCCCGTGCACCTTAGATCTTGCGCGCAATCTTGGATACTGTGGCCCGCTTGTTACCTTAAACTTGTAACTCAACCATGTTGCGAGCCAGAGGGTGAATCTCTACATGGGGGAAGGACTTTGAGTTGAGTGACCTGCTTATCATGCGTGAAACGTTGGGCTGTGTGACGCGTCGCGGTGGCGCTACACGCTTGTGCGCCTGCAGATGCACGCGGCGTGCAAGGAGGCTGGACTTGGCATGACGCCCAACCTGTTTTTTCCACGAAGGGCAAGCGGACAACGCTAAAATTGGCTGGCAGAAGGGCTGGCAGCTTGCGAACCGCAGTCTTCCCTCTCTCCTCACACCCAAAAACGAGACTCACTAGTTCCATAGAGACCTGGGAGTACAGAGAAAAACGGAAAGTTGACCGGTTCCAAGCGACTCGAAGTTCGAGAAGTCCAATAGCCTGCGCTGCCGTTCTCTGACGTCTTCTGTCTCTCCAGCTCAACGCTATTTCCTCTGCAGCCAGCGTGGCAGCCTTTTCTGGCTGGTTGCCGGGTATAAAGCGGCCTTAGCAGAGGCTTTTCGAGAAAATTGTGGGCACACTTCCCGCCCGAAGGGGTCAGGATGTCATGACATACTGAATGGTGCGCGATTTATGGGTCACGCTGTTGGTACGGTAATCGAGTTCACTGGTTCTTCATTGCGGTTTCTTTTTGACTGAATGAGAAGATTTCAATGAAATTCGTTCTCCTTCAGGTTGTTGACGTTATGGTCGTGGTCTATTGAGAACAAACAGTGAACCCGATTTTTTCCCGATTAAAATTCCATTTCTGCTTTTTCTATTTCTATTCCTTATTTTTGTTATGTATGTTTATGGCGTTCACTTCTTCTTTATTCAGTTTTAAAGCATGAAATTTGGTTCGGTCATTTTTCCTGCTTTTTTTTTCTTTTTTTTCTTTTCCTTTTTTTCTCCTACTTTTTTGTGGCCTCAAATTTGTTGTTATGTTGCTCTCTTTCTACCTGTACCTGGAGTTCGTGTACTGTACGGCTGTTATGAAATCAACTCTCAAGCATAACAGATCATCATCTTCATCAACCCTGAAGTTATGCTTATTGTGTGTGTGTGTATTGCATGTAAATTGCTTTACAAATATGTATGAAAATATGTCTCTATCGCTATTTTACTATACTATTCAATTTTTACTATTATTATGATAGTAGTATTATATTCCGTGTATTGCTCGCGCACATTTTGCTGCTAGCATGGCTAAGTTCCAGAGAAATTCTGATATCGAGTGGCTGGCTCGCTTAGGCGCACGTTTGATTTTCCGAGATAGTCGCGAGGGTTCTACGCTACATTCTCCTGGTGGGCGGGGCTCTCTGGGGCGGCTCTGATGTTCCCAGTGGGCGGGGCTCTCTGTGGCGGCTCTGATGAATTCTCGTATATCCTGAAACCTCCAGAAAATCTCATTGCTTTATCAGGCCTGAGATGCACGTTGTGTTGTGGCAAGTTGAACGCTTACCAAGCGCGCGATCCGGGGTTCAAACCTTTCCTTGACTCCACCCTCAGGCCAAGCCGTACTTCAACCCTGCAGGGACGGTGAATTGGGAGGCCTGCGTTTCGGCCGTCTTCGGCCGCGTGTGTACACTCCATATCTCGAAGATGGGAAGAGGCGTGGCTGCGTGATTCATCTAAACGCGGCGGTGGCTGCGCTTTTGATGAAGTGCAGCCTTTTTGGGACAGTTGTAATTATATCTGTCCGACACAAAGCAGCAGAAAAGCTGTATCAAGTAGAATTATACTGTGAAAAGCGCATCTCACGCTTTGCTCAAATAGAGTACCTAGCCACGCCCCTTCCCATCTTCGCTACAAGGTCTATACTTCGCGACTCAGGGGATTCAGTCACGTGATTCCGCGCAACTGCTGAATCGATTATAATCAGAATGCAACTGAAATGGCAGCTGCAGAGGTCCAACAATTAGCGGTGGAGCGCAGTCGGTCCGAATCGCCAAATCGCGCGTGTGAATCGTTCAAGTCGCAAAGTATGAACGGCACTCGCCTTAAAGCTTGAAATGGTCAAAAACTGCGAGTGTTTGAGACTTTAAGATTTGCTCGCTCGAGCGCCTCAATAACCCTCAAGGCGATATTATGTTCTGAAGGTTTCACATACGAACTTACAGCCCCCGTTCAACTAGCGTAGCATAAGGTCCCCAAAGCGTTATCTCGGCCATCGTGTGTGTCGTCAGCATGTCAAGCGCTCGATATCGTAGTTTAGTAGTGTGTCGTCAACAATACGCAGTGAATTCCTCAAAAAAGCGCCTATTCTCTCAGATGAGTGACGATGTGGAACGAAAATTGGACGACTAGTCGGTCGCCTTTCCTCGTCTACTCTGCGCATTTATCATTTCCCCTGTGCCACAAACATGGGAAATGTCCAGATTTTTATCATACACATGTGATTTTCTCCCCTCTGTTTCTCTGCGCCTCTTGCCGTACCTTTTTACCTTCATTTCTTGTATTATCTTCGTATTTACGATGCGAAGAGTTCTGTTTATTTAGTTTTATTTAGTTTTATTAGACAGGTGTCTCCTAACAAGCAGAGTTTGTTTTCTTTTTTTTTGTTTATTTTCCTAGAAAATTGTGATGCTGTGCGCGAAAGCAAGCAGAGCCGTATTCGGATTTCATAGTCATAATTGTGTTTTGTTTCGGTTTTTCGATTCACTCACAAATATCAAGTAGAATAATAAAGATTTTTAAAAAGAGTTGTCTTGCAGTGAAAATAGAGCCGTTCTCAGAGCACATCCTGCCGTTGGGGAAAAATTTTGGAAAATACGACCTCCTTCAGTTAGTCCTTTGATACGACCCCCGCCCTCATTCCCAAACTCCATCCTACCTGCCATCTCCCTAAATTCTTGCACTTTTCCGGAGTTTCCTCTTTATCAAAACCAGGAAAGCCGTTGAGCAGGGGGCAGGGGTGGTACACTGATACAAGAAAAACCGAGAAAAGTAAACAGTAGAAGAGAATTTACCCAAAGGCAAATGCGATGTCCTCCCTCCAGCGATCACTTACTATACTTATCCCTGGGATGGAGTAGGCGTGGCATTCGAACGTGGCACAGAATGGATTACTAGTGGAATATTTCAGTTTGAGACAACTGTCATCTGTCTTATCTTTCCAAACTGTCAACTGTCATATCTTTCCAAAAGTACAGCCACCGCCACGTTTAGTTGAAGTACGCAGCTACGCCTACCATATCTCGGGGATGTTGAGTATACTCATTTACGACTCCCTTCGCCCCGAAGCCCCCTCAAAGCTTGGAAGAAGGCGTTGGGGAAGGTGGTTTCCCATCGTAATATCAAGTTGAGCTCAAGCAGTTCAGTATAGGGAAAATGCACCTCCACGGCCATGCTGCAGTCGGAGCATTTGGAGCTGAATATGATCGCTATGGCTCTCTCCCATTGTGTGGCCTTCCCTCTCAAAAATAGGGTAACTGTACGGCCTTAGGTTTGATCAGCCTGAGCTCATGCGCATTTTTTGGGGACGAGTACGTTTTTGAGATTGGGCGACTCCTGGGTAAGGAACACCCAGACGGCTCAGGTCAGAGACCCCTTGGTTTTAATCGGAGACAACGTCGTGATGGTGGGCGCGGAGTTTTGGTAAGAATTGGAAGGCGAGAATCCCAGGCGAAGGAGGCAGGACTTATTGTTGAGTTTCCTGTAGAATGAACTGCATGGGCTCTAAAATGAACAGAGAGATGAGTGCTTAGCCATCACATACGAGCTTGTCCCGTTGGGTGCCATTGGGGGTGCTATGTATGTGAGCCTCTATTGCTATCGGCTTCATGGTGAGCTAGGCCATCTGAAGTCACCCATTGCGCTTCAGTTCAGTGATGGTCTCAATAAGAACCTGGCTCAGTGGCTTTGTTTGACTCCATTCCAGATGCTTGAAGTATCTTGTGATTCTCATAAGTTTGAGCTGCTATGTGGGGGGGGGGGTAGATTACACAAATCTTGGCTTGACAAAAAAGACCGGAATGTGAGCCGAACACTTTTAGGAGCAGCTAGGCCGGGCTACAGATCACTCGGACGCGTAGCTTTCTAGGTGAAAAAAGGACAGTGACAGTGTCATTCTTTTATTA